CTCTAATTTCCAGGGCTGGTACCTGCGGTTATTCCACAGGCTAGTTAATAACGTGTCGGGCAGGAAATCCAAAGTGTGGGATCATTTTGAGAAGGTGAAGGACGAACCCAAGGTGATATGTAAACTCATCTTCATTGGTCGACTACAAACATGACGTATCATCTGAAACATGGAAGTAGCTACATGCCCATTAGCCACTTAGCATAATCATTACAGTCAGCACAGTGTTAACAATGTTACTGATACTATTCTTTCTCACACCTTCAACTCAAACCATTGTGTTGCCCCGCCCAAAATATATCATTTAATTATTACATTAATATCATAAACATGCGGGCGAGTAGTCGACTAATGGCCCTAAATGATAACTATTGATCAACTAGGAAAATTCTTAGCTGGGGGCAGCCCTAGACGTTTCACTGTAGTGTTGCAAACATTCATCGGCAGCATAATGACACAGAAACAAACCCTCCCTGAAAATATTATGTTGTTTTAACAATCACTGTGTGTTGGATTTTAAACATTTAAGACTGATTCAATTTCTTTTAACAGATCGATGGAGCAAAGTCTGCATAATTTTATAACTGATACATTAATGTAATAAATGAATCACTACATCCAAATGAAAACATTTATTAAAATCAAGCATTTTTCATTAGAAACAATGTAACTTTCAGACATCAAGCTTTGCTTCTTTGTTTTGTCCCTAAATATATTCTTTCTTGCCTGAATAAAAAAGTCTCTCAGTAGTATTTTAACTTTCGTACAACAGAACTCTCTAATACAAAGAATGAAAAATATATTTGCAGAGACTTGTATGGAATTCAATCACGATATCTCATTAGATTTGTTTCCAATTATGGGCTTCCGATAAACAATCAGTGTGGTATTGATCCATGCTACAAATGCATAATCAAGCAAGCAAACTGAATTGTATCATGATGTGGTGAACACTACTGGGTGGTCCAGATTTTATTTTAGCACAAGGCAGGATAGACTGTCAGTACTGGAGCGAGAGGTATCAAAGACCACCTGGTCCCACCAACTGGCAGGACAGACGGCCTGTCAGGCGCTCAATGGCGGCCTGACCATCTAATTGGACACAAGGCCACTGACAGCTCCTGACTACTGCTCTCAGATTCTCATCCAGGTTTACTGTCAGCTAGCCTCCAGGCTGCCTCCTCCACACACATATACTGACAACACAAGGTTTGGACAGCATGTGTCATTCATGCATATTTAATTGTATGTGGTATCATATGGGTGGGTAATGACTTGGTAATTGGAAATGGGAGCTGTCACCAAAGTGTAGAATGTAATAATATTGTTTGTTTTAACCTAACAAGAGAGGATAAGAACAAATACTAAAATTCAACATTATGTCTTAAAGTAATACTTCGCTCCCAAGATGACTATCTGTGTATCAATTACACACCCTGTGTTTCATTGAATTCCAGAAGAAAACTTTTTCTTGCAAGTCTCCAGTGAATGAAGAATTTAAAGATGGCAAAAATTCTTGAGGAATTAAAATCACAGGCGATCGTGTAACAACACCAAAACTATCAAAACATTAGTTTACAAACTCTCACACAACTCCTTCAGTATAATCCAAGTCTCATGTATCCAGTCATATGCTCAGGGACAAGGAAGCCGCTGGTCTACCACTGCCTTGATCGGTAGCCTGTGTTATCATCTGACCTTGGTGAATCCAAACTAACCCTTTAAAACACCTAAGTCGCACAGTAACACAAACAAACTCCCAATCGAGGCAGCAGTCAAGCAGCAGCTCCCGTGTTCAGCAAAGTAAAATTGCTGTTTTTGTCAAAGTCTGGCTTTTACTCCCTGTTTGAACGGGCTGTCTGGGAAGTACTGAGCATACAATTAGACTTGGATCATACCGCACAAGTTGTGTGGGTTTGTAAATGCATGTTTTGACAGTTATCTGTTGTTAAAAACTCGGACCCTGTTAACTTAAATTCATCAAGAATCTTCTCTGATTTGGATTCATCGTTCACTAGAGGCATGTGAGAAACTGTTTTCTTCACATATTCAACATAACACAGGCTGATGATCCTTTGGGGGCTAAATATTCCTTCAAGTATAACACACACAAACCCACTTGCTGTGTACAACTGAGGCATTTAAATGTCAGTGACTTTTGTGCAAGTGACCTTACAAATCTATCAGCCAAACAACAAATCATAAAAACAGAATGCCCTTTCCCATTCAGCAATTCAGAATCAGCACATCAAGATTTGCTCATATCATACCAGCGCTTTCAAAATCTGCTTATGGATATACATTCAACACTCACCCAAGGCCAGGTGCAATGCCCGTCTCAATGAGGGGAATATTTGGCTGCTTGGTCTCTTGTTTCTTTTCCTCTTTCCTGTCACGTTTACCACTGTAGGAACAAAAGTAAACATGTTACAAGAGGGGTTCAACTGCAGCTCCTACCCTTGATTGGTACTGGGTGATGAGAATAATTACTATGTATAGATTTCACTCCACAGCATGTTTAAATTTCACTTTGATCAGGTCAATCTGATTAAATATCATTTGCTAATAAAATCCCTTTGTGGAAAATCATTTCTGGTCTGTGGAGCACATACAAGATGATCTTTAATTGGCACAACCGACACCAATGTCTGGCTCTATCTCACAGGTTAGAAGCCCATACATGAGGTGCAAAAGTATCTTTTCTGATACGACAGTATGTGCAGATCAAGTGTGTCTCAATTCATGTGATTGCAGCATCTTACCTGTCTGACACTGGTGGGTCCTTTAATACGGTCACATGATCTTCGCCTTTTGCAAACTCAACAACCAGTGTGCGACCAAGAATCTCTAACTGATGGAGCCTGCTCAAAGCCTAAAACAGATGTAATGGGGATTAAACATCATACAAGACAGATTTAGATAAAATTAGATGACGTCTACGAAACTTAGCTTGAGCGTTTGCAAGCAAAGCTTTTCTAAAGTGTCATAAAACTACAGACACTATATGAATAACTTACTTTTGCTGCTGACTTCTCACTTTTAAAGCTTGCAAAGGCTGCGTGTTTCTGTGGAAATAAAAAAGTCTGCTCAGAATGGACAGCAACTAAAATGAATTTCAAGAGGTAAAGGCTCACTAGGTGTGAGTGAGGCACAACCTACCAAACGACCGGTGTTCGAGAAAACCCTGACAGACTCAGCTCCAAAATATTTTAAGAGGTCTTCTTTCTCATCCCGGCTGAGCTCAGCTGGTAGGTGGCGAATAAGCAGAGTTTTATTGGCGCCTGTTTGGACCAGGTCCTCATTCTTGTCCATCTTCCTGTAGGACAGCAGGCAGAGAGATCCCACAGTTAAACAGATTACAGACAACTCAGCAGACCAGAAATTTGAAGCCTCTTTCAATTTAATACAAACGAATACAACAATCCTGCCATGAGTACTAAGCTCAAACTCAATTTTTAATCGTTGGTGACACTGTCTTGTTCGATCCCCGACGCAAACGAGGTGGGATAAATATTTGAAACATTATCAGCACAAGGTTAATAAGAAGTATGCAGTCATTCTTACACGTTATTACCGTTAACTTGCTGTAAATCGTGTAATTTTTAAAATGAGCGCTGCCGAATTAAAGAACAAATACTAAAGATGTTTTAAATATCTGAAGTCATGCTCTAAGAGACGTGTAAGATTTTCAAACAGCAAGGCAGAGTTAAATTGACCTTTCTTTGAACACAGAACCGTGCTGCAGCTACACTGGGCTAGCATCAACATTAGCATAGTGCTAAAAAAGCTAACTTGGAGCAAATTCCCAAATTGGCCTTACCTTTTTAATTTTCTATTTCTAACTTTAAATCATCTTCTGACTCCGATACGTTAAATGCAGCGACAAATATACACACGTAGTGTTTAAGCAAATAATTCAAAGCTCAAGTGAAATGTTTTGTAGCATATCTGCCGGCTACACTCAGTAAACATTTCCACTTCCGCCCGCCTCTTCTTCGTCTAACGGTAATTCCGGGCGGATGACAACTAACAGTGCTCATTAGCGCCACCTCTGGACTGGAGTGAAACTCTACTCAGAACAATGGTTCGATCTACCACAAGGGAAACAAACGCAGACTTTGAAGCATTTGAACCGAAGAATTAAATGAGACTGGTGAGTCAGATTTGATTTTGAGACGTTGTTTTACTTAACATGCTTTTTTTTCCCCCACGGAAGACATTTAGACGTGGCACAGTAGGAAAAGCACAGGTGTGAATAGCCCAATTACCCGTACCCTAAATATAACCACCTGTCTTTCAAACAATACTTCACAGTTATCTAAACGTTAACTTAGCATTTTCCTCAGGGCTACTTAGGACTCATTCCTGGGGCACTCTACATAAATGACAGTGGAGCTGAGTGTAAAAAATATCTGCTCTCTAGTGGCCACACAGAGGAATAGCAACACATACAATTTATGAAGTTGCCCAGTGAATACATTCAGAATACATTAACCAAACTGAGGCAATCAGATAGGAAGATAGGACCATTAAATAATTATCTTCACTGTTCTCCAGTGGTCAGAGAGTATAAAACCATGCTATAGAGATATTAACTCTAATTATTAATATTATTTAGAAGTGTCAATAAAGGTATTTTTGTTAGTGATGTTAATGTCATTTATAATGAACACTGTGACGCAATATAAAGCTTAGCACTATGTAATGTACTCCAGTTAACAGCCCTACACATGATAAGTTAGTTGATAATTTTCACCAGCAGGTGTCAGCCTCGCCATATGAAATAACAGCTGCAGCAGCAGTAATGGATCTGATCTGTCCAGCTACTGTGTGTTGGTTTCCCTCTTCAACCACAATATCCTAAAATAAGTTTTAGGCTAATTGAAAAATAACTGGCCTTTCTTCTACATGAAAATAGTCCGATTGTTCATTGATAATACATGGAGATTATAAGGGATCAAAAAGTGGAACATGCATCACTCCTAACACTGTGGTTTCTGTTATCTGCCACTATCAGTACCAGTTGAAGAACTTCTCCTGTCCAGGCTTATGAAGGCCCTCAGCTTCCCATCCCCACCCCCCAAGAAAATCTCCCCTACACTTCTCGAGATGCCTCCAAATTCCTGGCCAAATGAGACCTTTTCTTTGAGGAGCGACGCAAGGGCATTCCTCATCAGGGGGACACAATACCCCCTTTCACCGTGGCCTGGCTCTGAAATTTCACAGGTGATGGGAGGAACGGTAGACACTCGATCCTCCTTCCTCTCTCCGACGTAACGCATCAGACTGAGGGAGAGGAAAAGAGAGAGAGATGCTGTTGGGGAATGTGTTAACAGGAGAGAGAGGGGGGAAATAAGCTGGGTCTGACTCTGTTCCTATTATATGGGCTGAGAGCAATATTTGGTGGTTTAAAGCTGATATATTGTACCAATAAAATCTTAAAATTTTAACACTTTCACGACAAACATGATGTCTGCCATGCCAGAGGAGGCTGACAGTGACAGCCTACATATCAGTCTAATTAAAGAGTTGAAGGGAAAGGGGTTGGACTGTGGAGTACAGGAGTAGAATAGTGCAGAGTGATAGATGAAAGTCTGTTACTGCCTCTGTTGGCAAGCTGAGGTAATGATTCTGTCAGCAAGACATTATGTTCATAGTCATACTCTAGTCAGTGGGCTTTTACTTGAGCTCAGCAGCTTCTTGATATTTCATTAAAAAAAACTTAAGTTAACTTAAGTTAAGTTAACTTAAGTTTATCGGAGAAATGTTAATGCACAATTTAAAACAATGTGCTTTATTTGTAAGGCAACCTGTGAGAATGTGAGATCAGTTTCTTTTCATTTTGTCAATCTTTGGCACACTGCACTTCCAGAGAAACACAAGCTTTGTTGCCCTGGGTGCACAGATATACTATATTTATGTACAACTTTTACATTATTGGAACATCTGTGTGACCTTTTCTATTTTCTTAAAAACAAGTTTCTTCCTAGCTAATGCCTGTGCCCACTCCACACAAGAAAACTGATCCAGATCAAGAATGTAAAGGGATATTGTTACTACACAGTGCATAAACTAATAGGAGCAAATCTGATGCTAATGCTAGCTGTTGTGGCTGGTCCCACTGTGTGACCAACATATAACATTAGCAAGCTGTTGTGTGATCTTAAGCCATATATTGTCCTTTATCTGGTTGTTTGGGGTGTTTTTCGTACAATATTGGGTGTTAAGAAACCTAACTGGTAAGACTTTAGCAGCAAGCTAGTTATGACCTGGAGATATGACATCGGTTGGAATTGGAATTGGAAATTTGCTGAAAGCGAGGAGGATCCAAATATTTCATAGTTTTTATACATTTTATACATCCATGCTTCGTTTGAATCAGCTCTAAACCTGTTGTTATTCTTTTTTGGCCACTTGGTGGCAATGCAGCAAATTATAATCACAACATTAACATCATCACCCTATAAGGTTGATAAAGTGGCCTGTTTATGCACAGATACAATGAGCAACATAAGGAATTATCTGGAGTCATGTTTCTGTTCACCAGATTAATATGATTCTAGCTCTGTTTTGGTCTCCACCGCCTCCTGATGAAAATATCTGGCTCTAACTTTGAGCTCTTTTCTTTGCTGAGAAACAGTTACCTGCTGCTGCTGAAAATGAAGCTAATGATGGCAGCAAGAGTGAACCAAAACAGTAGATTAAAGCTGCAGGCTGTAAAACCAAAACCACCTCTTTAGGGCTGTGAGAAACTGCAGAATCAGGTGATGATACTCTGTGGCTTTGTCCCTAAGAGTGACACCACCTTTATTACACATACTCTTTGACCAAGTGTTAATAAAATTAGATTAGAGCAGCTTTAAATGTTCATGAAACGCTCACATAAGTAACATCAATTATGTGAAAAGTATTACTCGAGACGAGGATCATTCCATGTCACCACGTGTCTCCCGCTGGTTGGCTGGGGAACCTGGGCCGGAGGTGGGACATGGAGAGATAATATGAGCCCTGCTTGTGTTAAGCCTGATTTATGGTCCTGCGTTAAATCAACGACGTCGCTACGTCGTAGGGTACGTGGCTACGCAGAAGGCTCCCTGTAGCCCCCGGCGTAGCCTGACGTGCACCTCCCCAAAAATGTAACTACACGTCGAGGCNGACTACAAACATGACGTATCATCTGAAACATGGAAGTAGCTACATGCCCATTACCCCACAGCGTCATTAACTGGCGGCTCGCTCAGTGTGTGACGTGCACTTGTAGATAAAATATAGGCCTATATTAATGAAGGTTTTGTATTTATTTATTTAGTACGGTTTTGTATTTCTCTGTAATGTAGCACAGTGTTAACAATGTTACTGATACTATTCTTTCTCACACCTTCAACTCAAACCATTGTGTTGCCCCGCCCAAAATATATCATTTAATTATTACATTAATATCATAAACATGCGGGCGAGTAGTCGACTAATGGCCCTAAATGATAACTATTGATCAACTAGGAAAATTCTTAGCTGGGGGCAGCCCTAGACGTTTCACTGTAGTGTTGCAAACATTCATCGGCAGCATAATGACACAGAAACAAACCCTCCCTGAAAATATTATGTTGTTTTAACAATCACTGTGTGTTGGATTTTAAACATTTAAGACTGATTCAATTTCTTTTAACAGATCGATGGAGCAAAGTCTGCATAATTTTATAACTGATACATTAATGTAATAAATGAATCACTACATCCAAATGAAAACATTTATTAAAATCAAGCATTTTTCATTAGAAACAATGTAACTTTCAGACATCAAGCTTTGCTTCTTTGTTTTGTCCCTAAATATATTCTTTCTTGCCTGAATAAAAAAGTCTCTCAGTAGTATTTTAACTTTCGTACAACAGAACTCTCTAATACAAAGAATGAAAAATATATTTGCAGAGACTTGTATGGAATTCAATCACGATATCTCATTAGATTTGTTTCCAATTATGGGCTTCCGATAAACAATCAGTGTGGTATTGATCCATGCTACAAATGCATAATCAAGCAAGCAAACTGAATTGTATCATGATGTGGTGAACACTACTGGGTGGTCCAGATTTTATTTTAGCACAAGGCAGGATAGACTGTCAGTACTGGAGCGAGAGGTATCAAAGACCACCTGGTCCCACCAACTGGCAGGACAGACGGCCTGTCAGGCGCTCAATGGCGGCCTGACCATCTAATTGGACACAAGGCCACTGACAGCTCCTGACTACTGCTCTCAGATTCTCATCCAGGTTTACTGTCAGCTAGCCTCCAGGCTGCCTCCTCCACACACATATACTGACAACACAAGGTTTGGACAGCATGTGTCATTCATGCATATTTAATTGTATGTGGTATCATATGGGTGGGTAATGACTTGGTAATTGGAAATGGGAGCTGTCACCAAAGTGTAGAATGTAATAATATTGTTTGTTTTAACCTAACAAGAGAGGATAAGAACAAATACTAAAATTCAACATTATGTCTTAAAGTAATACTTCGCTCCCAAGATGACTATCTGTGTATCAATTACACACCCTGTGTTTCATTGAATTCCAGAAGAAAACTTTTTCTTGCAAGTCTCCAGTGAATGAAGAATTTAAAGATGGCAAAAATTCTTGAGGAATTAAAATCACAGGCGATCGTGTAACAACACCAAAACTATCAAAACATTAGTTTACAAACTCTCACACAACTCCTTCAGTATAATCCAAGTCTCATGTATCCAGTCATATGCTCAGGGACAAGGAAGCCGCTGGTCTACCACTGCCTTGATCGGTAGCCTGTGTTATCATCTGACCTTGGTGAATCCAAACTAACCCTTTAAAACACCTAAGTCGCACAGTAACACAAACAAACTCCCAATCGAGGCAGCAGTCAAGCAGCAGCTCCCGTGTTCAGCAAAGTAAAATTGCTGTTTTTGTCAAAGTCTGGCTTTTACTCCCTGTTTGAACGGGCTGTCTGGGAAGTACTGAGCATACAATTAGACTTGGATCATACCGCACAAGTTGTGTGGGTTTGTAAATGCATGTTTTGACAGTTATCTGTTGTTAAAAACTCGGACCCTGTTAACTTAAATTCATCAAGAATCTTCTCTGATTTGGATTCATCGTTCACTAGAGGCATGTGAGAAACTGTTTTCTTCACATATTCAACATAACACAGGCTGATGATCCTTTGGGGGCTAAATATTCCTTCAAGTATAACACACACAAACCCACTTGCTGTGTACAACTGAGGCATTTAAATGTCAGTGACTTTTGTGCAAGTGACCTTACAAATCTATCAGCCAAACAACAAATCATAAAAACAGAATGCCCTTTCCCATTCAGCAATTCAGAATCAGCACATCAAGATTTGCTCATATCATACCAGCGCTTTCAAAATCTGCTTATGGATATACATTCAACACTCACCCAAGGCCAGGTGCAATGCCCGTCTCAATGAGGGGAATATTTGGCTGCTTGGTCTCTTGTTTCTTTTCCTCTTTCCTGTCACGTTTACCACTGTAGGAACAAAAGTAAACATGTTACAAGAGGGGTTCAACTGCAGCTCCTACCCTTGATTGGTACTGGGTGATGAGAATAATTACTATGTATAGATTTCACTCCACAGCATGTTTAAATTTCACTTTGATCAGGTCAATCTGATTAAATATCATTTGCTAATAAAATCCCTTTGTGGAAAATCATTTCTGGTCTGTGGAGCACATACAAGATGATCTTTAATTGGCACAACCGACACCAATGTCTGGCTCTATCTCACAGGTTAGAAGCCCATACATGAGGTGCAAAAGTATCTTTTCTGATACGACAGTATGTGCAGATCAAGTGTGTCTCAATTCATGTGATTGCAGCATCTTACCTGTCTGACACTGGTGGGTCCTTTAATACGGTCACATGATCTTCGCCTTTTGCAAACTCAACAACCAGTGTGCGACCAAGAATCTCTAACTGATGGAGCCTGCTCAAAGCCTAAAACAGATGTAATGGGGATTAAACATCATACAAGACAGATTTAGATATAATTAGATGACGTCTACGAAACTTAGCTTGAGCGTTTGCAAGCAAAGCTTTTCTAAAGTGTCATAAAACTACAGACACTATATGAATAACTTACTTTTGCTGCTGACTTCTCACTTTTAAAGCTTGCAAAGGCTGCGTGTTTCTGTGGAAATAAAAAAGTCTGCTCAGAATGGACAGCAACTAAAATGAATTTCAAGAGGTAAAGGCTCACTAGGTGTGAGTGAGGCACAACCTACCAAACGACCGGTGTTCGAGAAAACCCTGACAGACTCAGCTCCAAAATATTTTAAGAGGTCTTCTTTCTCATCCCGGCTGAGCTCAGCTGGTAGGTGGCGAATAAGCAGAGTTTTATTGGCGCCTGTTTGGACCAGGTCCTCATTCTTGTCCATCTTCCTGTAGGACAGCAGGCAGAGAGATCCCACAGTTAAACAGATTACAGACAACTCAGCAGACCAGAAATTTGAAGCCTCTTTCAATTTAATACAAACGAATACAACAATCCTGCCATGAGTACTAAGCTCAAACTCAATTTTTAATCGTTGGTGACACTGTCTTGTTCGATCCCCGACGCAAACGAGGTGGGATAAATATTTGAAACATTATCAGCACAAGGTTAATAAGAAGTATGCAGTCATTCTTACACGTTATTACCGTTAACTTGCTGTAAATCGTGTAATTTTTAAAATGAGCGCTGCCGAATTAAAGAACAAATACTAAAGATGTTTTAAATATCTGAAGTCATGCTCTAAGAGACGTGTAAGATTTTCAAACAGCAAGGCAGAGTTAAATTGACCTTTCTTTGAACACAGAACCGTGCTGCAGCTACACTGGGCTAGCATCAACATTAGCATAGTGCTAAAAAAGCTAACTTGGAGCAAATTCCCAAATTGGCCTTACCTTTTTAATTTTCTATTTCTAACTTTAAATCATCTTCTGACTCCGATACGTTAAATGCAGCGACAAATATACACACGTAGTGTTTAAGCAAATAATTCAAAGCTCAAGTGAAATGTTTTGTAGCATATCTGCCGGCTACACTCAGTAAACATTTCCACTTCCGCCCGCCTCTTCTTCGTCTAACGGTAATTCCGGGCGGATGACAACTAACAGTGCTCATTAGCGCCACCTCTGGACTGGAGTGAAACTCTACTCAGAACAATGGTTCGATCTACCACAAGGGAAACAAACGCAGACTTTGAAGCATTTGAACCGAAGAATTAAATGAGACTGGTGAGTCAGATTTGATTTTGAGACGTTGTTTTACTTAACATGCTTTTTTTTCCCCCACGGAAGACATTTAGACGTGGCACAGTAGGAAAAGCACAGGTGTGAATAGCCCAATTACCCGTACCCTAAATATAACCACCTGTCTTTCAAACAATACTTCACAGTTATCTAAACGTTAACTTAGCATTTTCCTCAGGGCTACTTAGGACTCATTCCTGGGGCACTCTACATAAATGACAGTGGAGCTGAGTGTAAAAAATATCTGCTCTCTAGTGGCCACACAGAGGAATAGCAACACATACAATTTATGAAGTTGCCCAGTGAATACATTCAGAATACATTAACCAAACTGAGGCAATCAGATAGGAAGATAGGACCATTAAATAATTATCTTCACTGTTCTCCAGTGGTCAGAGAGTATAAAACCATGCTATAGAGATATTAACTCTAATTATTAATATTATTTAGAAGTGTCAATAAAGGTATTTTTGTTAGTGATGTTAATGTCATTTATAATGAACACTGTGACGCAATATAAAGCTTAGCACTATGTAATGTACTCCAGTTAACAGCCCTACACATGATAAGTTAGTTGATAATTTTCACCAGCAGGTGTCAGCCTCGCCATATGAAATAACAGCTGCAGCAGCAGTAATGGATCTGATCTGTCCAGCTACTGTGTGTTGGTTTCCCTCTTCAACCACAATATCCTAAAATAAGTTTTAGGCTAATTGAAAAATAACTGGCCTTTCTTCTACATGAAAATAGTCCGATTGTTCATTGATAATACATGGAGATTATAAGGGATCAAAAAGTGGAACATGCATCACTCCTAACACTGTGGTTTCTGTTATCTGCCACTATCAGTACCAGTTGAAGAACTTCTCCTGTCCAGGCTTATGAAGGCCCTCAGCTTCCCATCCCCACCCCCCAAGAAAATCTCCCCTACACTTCTCGAGATGCCTCCAAATTCCTGGCCAAATGAGACCTTTTCTTTGAGGAGCGACGCAAGGGCATTCCTCATCAGGGGGACACAATACCCCCTTTCACCGTGGCCTGGCTCTGAAATTTCACAGGTGATGGGAGGAACGGTAGACACTCGATCCTCCTTCCTCTCTCCGACGTAACGCATCAGACTGAGGGAGAGGAAAAGAGAGAGAGATGCTGTTGGGGAATGTGTTAACAGGAGAGAGAGGGGGGAAATAAGCTGGGTCTGACTCTGTTCCTATTATATGGGCTGAGAGCAATATTTGGTGGTTTAAAGCTGATATATTGTACCAATAAAATCTTAAAATTTTAACACTTTCACGACAAACATGATGTCTGCCATGCCAGAGGAGGCTGACAGTGACAGCCTACATATCAGTCTAATTAAAGAGTTGAAGGGAAAGGGGTTGGACTGTGGAGTACAGGAGTAGAATAGTGCAGAGTGATAGATGAAAGTCTGTTACTGCCTCTGTTGGCAAGCTGAGGTAATGATTCTGTCAGCAAGACATTATGTTCATAGTCATACTCTAGTCAGTGGGCTTTTACTTGAGCTCAGCAGCTTCTTGATATTTCATTAAAAAAAACTTAAGTTAACTTAAGTTAAGTTAACTTAAGTTTATCGGAGAAATGTTAATGCACAATTTAAAACAATGTGCTTTATTTGTAAGGCAACCTGTGAGAATGTGAGATCAGTTTCTTTTCATTTTGTCAATCTTTGGCACACTGCACTTCCAGAGAAACACAAGCTTTGTTGCCCTGGGTGCACAGATATACTATATTTATGTACAACTTTTACATTATTGGAACATCTGTGTGACCTTTTCTATTTTCTTAAAAACAAGTTTCTTCCTAGCTAATGCCTGTGCCCACTCCACACAAGAAAACTGATCCAGATCAAGAATGTAAAGGGATATTGTTACTACACAGTGCATAAACTAATAGGAGCAAATCTGATGCTAATGCTAGCTGTTGTGGCTGGTCCCACTGTGTGACCAACATATAACATTAGCAAGCTGTTGTGTGATCTTAAGCCATATATTGTCCTTTATCTGGTTGTTTGGGGTGTTTTTCGTACAATATTGGGTGTTAAGAAACCTAACTGGTAAGACTTTAGCAGCAAGCTAGTTATGACCTGGAGATATGACATCGGTTGGAATTGGAATTGGAAATTTGCTGAAAGCGAGGAGGATCCAAATATTTCATAGTTTTTATACATTTTATACATCCATGCTTCGTTTGAATCAGCTCTAAACCTGTTGTTATTCTTTTTTGGCCACTTGGTGGCAATGCAGCAAATTATAATCACAACATTAACATCATCACCCTATAAGGTTGATAAAGTGGCCTGTTTATGCACAGATACAATGAGCAACATAAGGAATTATCTGGAGTCATGTTTCTGTTCACCAGATTAATATGATTCTAGCTCTGTTTTGGTCTCCACCGCCTCCTGATGAAAATATCTGGCTCTAACTTTGAGCTCTTTTCTTTGCTGAGAAACAGTTACCTGCTGCTGCTGAAAATGAAGCTAATGATGGCAGCAAGAGTGAACCAAAACAGTAGATTAAAGCTGCAGGCTGTAAAACCAAAACCACCTCTTTAGGGCTGTGAGAAACTGCAGAATCAGGTGATGATACTCTGTGGCTTTGTCCCTAAGAGTGACACCACCTTTATTACACATACTCTTTGACCAAGTGTTAATAAAATTAGATTAGAGCAGCTTTAAATGTTCATGAAACGCTCACATAAGTAACATCAATTATGTGAAAAGTATTACTCGAGACGAGGATCATTCCATGTCACCACGTGTCTCCCGCTGGTTGGCTGGGGAACCTGGGCCGGAGGTGGGACATGGAGAGATAATATGAGCCCTGCTTGTGTTAAGCCTGATTTATGGTCCTGCGTTAAATCAACGACGTCGCTACGTCGTAGGGTACGTGGCTACGCAGAAGGCTCCCAGTAGCCCCCGGCGTAGCCTGACGTGCACCTCCCCAAAAATGTAACTACACGTCGAGGCGAAGCAGACCCAGCGCAGACAGAGAGGGATGTGATTGGTTTGCTTGGTAGCAAAGCATTTCCGGTTCCGTATTTCCAGATTGCGCCATCCCCGCCATCTTTAAACATCTTCTGTTGCGATGTAGATGTTGCACATATGTTGCAGTATTAAGGCCCATTAAAGCCTGATTTATGGTCCTGCGGCGTACCTACAACATACCTACGTCATTGCCGTGACGCTGTCGTGAACCCTTCGAACTTCTCCGTCACTCCATTTTGTCGCGGTGCAATTCACCGCCAGAGCGGTAGGAGGCTGCGTTCCTTTCCTGAATGGTTATCGTCGTCTCTAGTTGATTCTTTGCTTAGCTTGACAGCGTAGGTATGTTGTAGGTACGCCGCAGGACCATAAATCAGGCTTTAATGGGCCTTAATACTGCAACATATGTGCAACATCTACATCGCAACAGAAGATGTTTAAAGATGGCGGGGATGGCGCAATCTGGAAATACGGAACCGGAAATGCGTTGCTACCAAGCAAACCAATCACAGCCCTCTCAGTCTGCGCTGGGTCTGCATCACCTCAACGTGTAGTTACATTTTTGGGGAGGTGCACGTCAGGCTAAGCAAGGGGCTAAAGAGAGAATTCTGCGTAGCCACGTACCCTACGACGTAGCAACGTTGTTGATTTAACTCAGGACCATAAATCAGGCTTTATGCTCAACGTTCAATACGGATACGGACGGAGCCGTCTGTCCGTGCTCCGCGTTCATTTCTCTGTAACCGGAAAAGCCAGAAGCTAAACAAAGAATCAACTAGAGAAGACAATAACCATTCAGGAAAGGAACGCAGCCTCCTACAGCTCTGGCGGTGAATTGCACCAAGACGAAATGGAGTGACGGAGAAGTTCGAAGGGTTCACGACGGCGTCACGGCAACGACGTAGGTATGTTGTAGGTACACCGCAGGACCATAAATCAGGCTTTACACCTTCCACATTAAACAACTTCTTTACACAAACATTTCACCTCCCAGGTCAATAAAGGTAGTTAGGTCAACAGAAAGTGGAATAAATGGAAAGAAAAATAAAGGAAAAAATCCCAGCGCTCTAAATTTGTTCTGAATTCATCTTGCTCAGGAATGCATTAAAGAAACACCACTTTCATACTGATGGTGGGCTTCCAGACACAGTTTCCCACCTGGTTGTTCAAAATGGTTTGTTTAAGAAATAAGGTCAACACTCAAAGTTTTACTCATGTCTCTCCAATGTGTCATCTCATCCCTAAGTTTGTCCACAGAAATACTTTCCAGTTAGGTTCCAGCCTCAGATAAAAAAAAAGCAGCTACACACATCCAGTTCTTTTTGTGAGTTTGAGGGATTAACTAATTTTAAAACACACTGTCAAAAAGTCTTTTTCTTAAGTTTGCAGCATTTGAACTGATATGGTACGAACAAATCAAAATAAACTCTTAAATAATACAAACTAAATAATTCTGGATGTTTAAGGAAAATATGTCTTCTAGAGGTTTAGAGGATCTCCTCCTTCAACAGGGTCCTACAGTCCTCATCAAGTCCTGCGTATTCCCTGACTGGGCACAGAGGGAAGGCTAATACACCCTAGACAGTAAACTCAGGTCATGTCCAGCCTCTGAGACTTTAAATGGACTCTTTCATGGTCGGGGCAATGAATGGGGCAGCAGGGGCCTCTGTGGTGGGATAGTGTGTATTTCCAGCAGCCTGTATGGAAACTGCATTGAAAGCTTAGATCCTGAGCATATCATGACTCCATTGTGCCTCTGGAAATATGTCACGTTCAAGACTTGGTTTATTTCACAAGAAAACAGGTCCGGGCCTACTGGAATC